CCGTTGCTGAACGTGCCCATAATTTCCATTGTTCAGGTTCATACCACTCATTCCAGAGATAAGCCCAGACGTGTGGTAAATTATTAATTCTACAATAATGATATTGTTCTTTTACACAGTCTTTCCAGATTTCATGTAGGTTATATATTCTAGAACGAGTCTCAGTTGGAATTAAAGGATGTACAGAAAAGTGTACTCGAATTAATTGAATAATGTGTTTACGAAGATCTTTTCTGCAAAAAATTTTATATTCATCATCTGCTGCTACATTTTTAATTCTATCACTATTTGAAAAAAGATCAACAAGCACATTTTGATTTTTTGATGCTGGTTGCCAAGATGGATCGATTTCTGAACAAATACTATGTGCTTCATATACGTCATATGTTGAATATACAATTCCTGAGCTAGATAGCTTTTTTTTAATAGCCCGAAGAACGTGCCAATAGCACAATTGAATTCGCGCATGAGGCCAGACAATTTGAGCTGAAGTAATCTGTGAAAAATCTTTGTCTGTCAGAAAGGTTTTGATGTAATGCATGCCTTGTTCTTTCATCAAATAAAACCAGTTTAAGAGAGTCGTCAAACGCTTTTCTTTTTGATCAGGTTTTAGAAACAAATAGGATAGAGAAAACCTAGTCTCGTCCATAATTCCAAGGATTGTATAAAGTTCATACTTTAACCGATTAGTATTGTACGTAGCATCAACGACAATTGTAGTAATTTGTTCTTTTGGAAAAACATTAAATAATGGTGTCATAAATGCAATAATTGTAGGTTGCTGAATAATTAGTTTACAAGTAGGTTGATGAAAAAGGTATTGAATTGTCGATTCTATTTGATCCTCAGACAACTTATATTCATTAAATCCTAATCGCTTGCACCAGTAATAAATTTGCTGTTGCGTAACATGAACATATCCATTTAGACTTGAGGCTTTTATATTATGATAAATTTGAGGAACAGTTAAAAGCTTATTTTGTTGAATGTACTCCTTAATTTCAGAAGAAACTGCAATTGATCGGGGTTGAGGATGTGCTAAGTGGTGAACACGAATGTAGGCTAGTTCATGAGATCATTTAATAGTAATAAGCACTGATCCTTCACATTCGTACCGAGGTAATCGAGGTTCAGTATTTCACTGTTTACTAATGTCTTCAATTCGTGGTTTTTTTGGTTTTCTTTCATACTTGCAGTTACAATAAAAAAGGAATGAAAAACCATCTTTTAGTCTATCACACGTATGATAAACATACACAAATCCATCAGCTTTTGAGATAAGTTTTATGATTTGATAAGCAATTAGCTTATTACTCTCATCGTCGTTTGTTGTTTCAATATGATCAATAAAAGAATTAAGAAAGACAGCAATTTCTATATTTAACTCTTGCTTGCATGGTTCAGTATTGTCGAAGTCTTCATAAGGATCCAAAAAATCCAGAAAGACATCGACAAGTTGATCACGAGTATATGCACAGTCTTTGCGTCATTTAATTTCTTCTTCCTTATTTTCTTTCGCCTTGGTCCGATTCATATCACCAATCGAGGTCCGGCACTTGTTACACGATAATACTGTTTTGTTATTTTTTCCGATAAAGTTTTTTTTCTCATACCAGCCCTTGCAGTGGTTACACTTTTTCTTTTCATGGTCAATATTGGTCATGTTTAACAAGAAATATAAAAAAGGAAGAGATACAAGGAAAAAGGAAAGACATGAAACGATGGAACAAATTTTATTATATCCATTACTTTAGTGATATGAAGAGTGATATATTGACTAATTAAAAAATATGTAATCGATACATTGATTGATCTATTGTGTCACGTGATCGCGAAATTTTTTTGACTGGCATTGCTAGTCCCATCTTTTCATGCGTACGTACGTACGTATTAATTTAATCATATATCAGATATTGCATACGTATAACTGTATAAGACATGTATTTATATTTGCAGTATACTACAACGCCTACATGGTCTTAATTATAAGTAATTAAAATTAACACAGTATTTTGTTTAAGTACAGCAGTATGTAAAGTGTAACTGTACATGAATTTAACAAAATGTTTCAGTTATTTATAGATGTCGCCCCGGGTGTCAAATGTTTTATACAGCCACTAACGTCCGTGATTTTGACATTATTGTGTCAGAAATGTCAATAAATTATCTGATGACAAATTTGTTGCGACCTGATTTTGTCTCTAGAATTCCAGATCACAAAACAACCTATTTCTATTGATATTATTATTGCACTTTGCAAAAGATGTGGTCTCTGCAGATGTCACGAAAAATTTCATATTAGATTATATTAGATTTTATTATTACATTTTTCTTGCGCAATAATTTTATTAGTAATATCGATTACTATATAATTGCATAATTGCTTTCTTGCTAATTGTGATTAATAAAACTATATAAAGGGTCATTAATCGTGAATTAAGGGAAGTTCTTTTAGTAAATTAGGTCTTTGAGTTAGCTCCTTAGTTAGTCCTTTTGTATCTTTCGATAGTTTTTTTCCACTATTGTATCATTTAATCGCTTTTTGTATTTGTAATAGTAATAGCGATAAAACCCAATAAATTAATGTTTACGCAATGAGCTGTGTGGTTGTGTAGTGATACAAGCACACAGATCACTAAGTTAGATTCTAAAATTTCAGATAAATGGGTGTCGCAAAAGGAAAACCTAGAATAGTGGATTTTCCGAAATCAAAAAAAGGCTTTTCAGACGCATGATTTACTAAATAGAGTTTATTATAAACCATCAGGAATTTGTTTCTGAAAGTGAAATTTTCGAAGTCAAGAATTCCTGGTTTTTGCTTTGCGGCACCAAAACATGAGTGTCTCCAAGGAAAAATCTGTATATCTAGACATAGAACCTTCTTATGACAAAATGTGGGCTTTTCAAAATGGGTACTACCAAGAGAAAATATACAGCTACTTTATTAGTAAAAGAATTTTAAAAAGTAATTTGAGAACATTGAATTTTGCCGTTTCTAATTGCATTTACTATTATTCTAAGTTTAATAATATCAATAGTCAAAAAATGAAGTAAATAATTAGATGCTTTATTTACAGAAATTTGCTATAGTTTCAAGTTTGTAGCGGCTTTTTATAATTTACTACAATGAGAATATTTGCTTTTATCTAATTTTCTTTCTACAGCTTATTACAGTAGCTCAAATTAAAGTTTGTCATTTGCAACTGTGCTATTATTACTTGATGTAAATA